CCATCGTCAATACTTATTGGCGACGAGCGTTGTCCGTTGTCAATGTTTAGTCGTTGCCAATGAGCATTGGCGACGGGAAAACATTGGCGACGACCAACACCCGTCGCCAATGCAAACATTGGCGACGGGTTATAGGTGACGGGACTGTTCCTGTCGCTAATGTTTGTATTGGCGACATATTCGATATCTGTCGCTAATGCCCTCTTTTTTACTAGTGTGCATTGTTTGTCATCCACATCTACTGTAAATATAACCAAAATCAGTAACACAATATAAACACGCGCACAAGTTTTTATAAATAATCAATTTTTTGAAACAAATCTCTCCATCCTTATTTAATGGTTTTGCTTGATTCTTCTATCACCATCCTTCTATTAGAAGCTCAGCTGTAAGTCTGACACGTATGACACCAGATTCATTCATACTTTCCCCAATGTATTATATTTATCTGAAATGTGATGACATTGATGTATATGTATGAAACATCAGACCCATACAATCACATCAACTACCATTGATGTTGTCAGACTTTCTAGTAGCTCATCAATTGATATTGCCTTCCTCACATTCTCCACCATAAAGAACTCCTCAAGGACTAAATATACCCAATTAGCTCCTGCAACACTCCATTAAAACTCCTAGTACTTAATCTCTTCACAGCCTCTGAACCAAATTCAAGATCAACGAACCCCAATCCCCTGATCTTCGACATCATGAGCTCAGTATAATCGCCCCCAAATGCATCAATGACAAGATCTCCTCCAAGTTAGTCTCCACCTCTCTTGGATCTGACCCTTATTGAACCCAAACAGACAACAAATTCTTGATGCAGTGATAGAGTCATAGTCCTCGACGTCGAGTGATCATTGAGCGGCGTCGAGGGACTGCAAACGGTGAAGTGCGACGTCGATGCGGGAGAGGGAGGGATGCATCGAGACTGGGCGAGGTCGAGCTGGCGAACGCGAGATGAAACATGATGGATGAGGGAGGCAGTGGATGAGAGGGAGGAGAGGTGGAGGGACGAATCAGAGCGGGCGAGGGAGAGGAGAGAGGAGGAGGAGCGACGGAGTGCGAGAAGGCTACGGTCGAGATCGAGGAGGTAGGAGAGGAGGGAGTCGAGGCGGACATCAAGAGAGCGCTGGTAGGCGATACATTCGTGAAGGAGTCGAGTCATCGTGCCGACGTCAGTGAGGGATTGGATTTGGGTGTTTGAGCAACAAAAGAGAGAAGAAAGAAGAGAGAGAGTGTGAGCAAGATAGTTTGGGTGAGAAGAGGGTGTTGTCGGAAGATCTTTACTAATACAAATCATACATGTATAAAAATAAGCTTTTGGAGCCGGACCATACTTTTTTAAGTTACTTTGGGCTAAACAGCAAGAGAAAAACTTAATGGTACTGAGCTTTATCATGTTCTTTGTTGGGGGGCATCGACACATTTTCCCCAAAAGATGGCGATTGCAGAGCTCTTTTATCACATAATCATTTACTCTTCCTAAAAACAAATTTAAGTCACACAGCATTTAATACAACGTGCAATACCTTTCCCTTTCTACACCCAATCCCTAAATCCCCGGTGCAGCATCGGACGGCTGTAAGGCCCTAAATAGCTGGAGGCTTCACGTGCTACCGGGGCCGTCACGTGCTCTGACCTCCTCCTCGAACAAAACCCCAATTCGTCATCATCTCTCGCCCTGGTCCTCTCTCTCTCTCTCTGTAGACTCTGACGAGTGAGCAGACAAAAAAGCAAAAAAGCAACAAAAAAAGGAAAAGAAATAAAAAAGACGGCAACTTTTTTTTTTTTTTTGGGTTCCTTCCGCACATTTGTTTCTCATCGGAGATGGAGATAGAGAGCTGAGGGAGAGGGAGAGGGAGAGGGAAAGCCATGGAGGACGCGTGGCGGTCCAAATGCAGCTCCACGTGGACTCCTCCCCCGTCGGATCCTCCGCCGCCATCGTCGACGCCTCCGCCGCCAGCGCCGCAGCAGTTTACTGCCTCGATCTCGGCGAACCAGGTTCCGTCGACAATTTCGTCAAAGGTTCAGCTGCTTAGGCTTTTAGTAGCGTATGATTAGGCTTCGTGTTCTCAAAATTCGATTTTTTTTTTAAAAGAGAACCTTTTGATTTTGTTATGGGTTTAGCAAGCAAATAAGAATATTCATAAGCGGTTTTTTTTTCTTTTTGGTTGCGAAAATGTCTCAATCTGTTAGCTTAGTTTGAACATTTTTTATTTGTTATGTTAATGATAGCTGACGTAATTTGCGTTGCATTTACATTGTAGGTGAACAAGAATCCTCATCAAAACTTTCATCCTTTCGTTGTGCAAGGAACAAACCTCCGCCCTGCTGTTCAACAATCACTAGTTTCTCATACCTTGGACTTAGATTTTGCGAAATCGGGGAAGACTGAGTTGGGAAATTCCTTTCTAGCTCTACTTTCTTCAAACCCTCATCATTTACCTAGTGAATTTTCACAATTACCCAAGCTCCGTGCACATTCTGGTGGTGTTATGGTCAGTAGTTCCAGTCCCGGTGCGCAAATTACAAGCATTCCTTCTCCAGCCCATGTGAGTACGAGTGGTGGCCCGTGGACTTCGAAAGCTCCTTTGTTTGTTGACGCTAGACCATCTTTGATGCCCAATTGCACCAGAAACCCTGCTTTAAACAGTAGTAGTCAAGTAGGAGCTAGACCATTTTTGATGCCCAATTGCTCCAGAACTCCTTTAAGCAATAGTAATCAAGTAGAAACTTCTCATGATTATGCTTTTCCCTCGAGTAAACCGGTTCAGGTTCAAGCATTTGCTGAAAAACCATCTGCTAGTGGCAATTGGCCCAGTAATACCAGGCCTAAAATTACTGGCCAGCATCATCCCTTGAATGCTCATACAAATCAGACCTCATGTAGAATGCCGATAGAAGTTGGATCTTCTGTTCCTAATCATGATTCTGCCCGTTTCAGAGGGCGCCCACGTGTCATTTGTGTGAACACAGGCAAGTGCCTCACTACTTTAAACCCTTATTTCTGATTGTGAATCTGATCAATTCGAATATACATGTCTAATTGGCCTTGATATTTCTCGATACATTTTGTGATGGCAGTTGGAGAGCTGTTTCTTAGTGAGTTGGGGCTTCTAGGTGTTATTTGCTTTTGTCATAATTTACGCATGTCCGTGGCAAAATTTTGTGAGGTACTTCATGATGATAGCGATACGTTTCGGACTTGCTTTTGTTACTTTTGTACTTTAGAGGTTGTTCTCAGGTAAAGGAATATATGGCCTTATCTCAGATCACTTTCAGCATGCAGGCTCTTTAGCTAATCCAGGAGAGGCCGTTCGGTTGGAGAATGGAATGACTGTTTCCCAGTGGCGCAAACTATGCTTTGGGGTGAGTGTTATTCTTGATTAACAAGATTTGGTTTATTGCAGTTATTCTTGATTAACAAGTTCTCTTGAGATTCTTGGGTGGAGCATCTGTGTTTCGCTGCAGTTGTTGTTGTTCTACTTGTAGGGTTTTTGATCATTCTATACATTCTTCCTAATCAAATTTGTCCTGTGTCGCTTCTGATCCAAGCATCTCTATTATCTGTGTTTGAATGCACTTTTCCCATAGTATTTGCTAGGGAAAAATTAGGAGCTTATGAAAAATTCTTGTGGCTGATTCAAGATGGTTGAGTGAAGCTATTCTATCTATTGCAGTGCTGGGTACATAATGCACAATGTAGAACTCGCCTGACGACGTTGATTCCTGAATGCAGGGATGTAAGATGCATTTTCATCTATGGACTTAAAAGTGTTCGCAAAGTACTTGGGTTTCTAAACTTATCTCAAAAGTAATTCAAATTAGAAAAGGAAATGGATTTGATCTACTGGAAATTTTCCTTGTATCTATCTAGTCTATCTTAAGCAAATTCTACAATCCTTATGGCAGAGTGCCCTTAAAAGTGAATATGGATAGGGGATAGGATGACTGACAAATTTATGTATGACAGTGCTGGAATACCAGGGACCTGATTATTTTTCTGTCTGATTCTTGCTAGTATAGATGCCTAAAAATATGAATAGTTTTCTTATTTCTGCGGCCATTATTTTTCTGATATTATTGGGACTTCAGTTTTATCTACCTTTATCTGTTATAATTTAAACCTAGATGTCTTCACAAGTCTTAGAGAAATTTAAACAATTTCTGTTTAGTTAGATGAGCTTATGAGCAATAAGATAATTTGCCTTGCTCAGAAGCACCTCTGTTGTGCTTTCTGAGTACTCCTTCATTTCGATGTAGAGGCCTTGTTAGCAACATGGCACCCAGTTTATTTGATGGGTCCTTTATGTCCCTTGATTTTGCTCCATGCATGATTCTTTAACGAGAAAATGTTTGTAATATTATAGCCCACTTATAGTTTCATCCTTGTTTTTCTCATATTATTTTGGGCTTCCTCGTCTGTGGCTACTTTAATATGTGCAATAAAATAATGTGACTTAACTTGGCTATCTGTCATAATTTAGCAGTTGGAGTTGAGTGCATTGAAGAACTGTTTCTATTTACCAATTTGCCAAGATGAATTTTTGAATGTTTTTCCCTGTGCAAGAGCTAACACTGTATAACCTGTTACACAGGCTCTCTACCTGCCAAGTAGCCTTCTAGTCTTTGTACAAAGAATTTAAAATCGGCTGAAAAAAGTTTCTTTGGGATGAAAGCTTGTCAAAAATTTGTTAGTGGTCCATATACTCTTGGGCTGTTAGACAACCCCATTATGGTGGAAACGGCTATGATACTGTTGACATTTGACAATGACATGTGCGATAAAATATTGAAGAAAACACATCTACATCTCTGGATTCGACTTTCTTGTTTCCTTTTTTAAGATTTTTCTTTGCAACCACACCACATTGCTGGGCAACAAAATCCTGGAAAGTGAACTTAACCTCCGTAGTATGTATAAACTCATCCAATTGAAATTCTTTTTCGCATCAAGTGGAAATGTTGGATTGTTCATCATTCCCCTTTTCAGTTCTCACTCGCAAAAGGAAAATGTTTGGTGGAATTCTATTAAAAGAACCCCCTTCCTTTTTCATTTATCCTGTATTGTTTGATCTATGATTTGTCCTATGAACATTAAGTGGTCAAACAAAATAGTTTTATATGGCATGTCATGGATAAACACAAACAATGTATTGTCATGCACACTGAGAAAGTAACAGAAAAATAACCTTAACTAACTTGTAACTGAAGGACTTAGTATATATGAACCACAATTTATAGTTACCACATGTGGCTCTGCTTTCTTGATGAATGAATTTTTATGATGAATTTTTATGATTACAATTTGCAGTCTTTTTCTGTAACCACAATTCTTAGTTTCGTATTTTTAAAGTTTACTATAACAATTATTAGTCTTTTTTCTGTCACCACGTTTGTTAAATTCGAAATTTTTAAGGGTTACTCTGCTGGTTCTTCAGAATAATGCTCCAGATGATTGCCAAGGATGGGAGTGGACAGATGGTCCTTCAACAACATATGGTTTTATTGGATCTAGGGGTAGCACTATGCCTATGCCTCAGAATCCTGGGAAAATCGATTCCTTTCAAACATTTGTTGGGTTAGGGCAATCTGGAGGTCCTTGGAATGTATATAGTAAGCGATCTCATACAGGTGTTCAACAGGATGCTATAAAGCAACCAGAAAATAAGGTGCCAAATAGCATGTATCAATGGAATAGATCAGAGGGAGAGGGCTTCCCGTGTACATCAGAAAGCCGTCTGTCTGTTCTAGCCAAGGACCAGACTGTGCATGCAATTGAGCAAGGTCCTGATTGCCTGAATCCTAAGGCATCACCTGCAACTCTGAACAAGGTGGAGAAAAATGTTTGGTCCCATCTGATAACAAACAGTGACAAGTGCAAGGGAAAATTGGAAACTGCATCACCCTTTTATCCATGTTCAGATGCCAAATCTCTGAGTTCTGAATTAAATCGCAGTAGGAATAACTTTGAAAATGAAACACTTGTAGTAGCTAGGGATGGCAATCCTTCAAATATTGATTTGCGTCTTGGACAGCCTTCTCAGGTCCATACTTCTTTAAGTTATTTATCAGCTGCTGCGAATCCTCTGCAGTATGGTACAATGTATAATCCTCAAAAGTCTCAAGTCATACTTCCACTGGCAGAGAAAGCCAATCTGTTAAAAGGTGATTATATTTTGGCACTTTTGGCCCATACATAGTTTGCATATTTGGATTTTCGTGAATGGTTATGATCACATGATGTATGTAATAATGCTACCATGTTCTTATGCAGAGCAACCGAGGATTGGTCTCTGGTGCACTTCATATGAAACATCAATTAGCAATATAGTGCAATCCCAGCATGCAGTTAAAAGTTCTAGTTATTCTGAGCCCAAAGAGCTTCTGGAGAACGCAGCTAAAAATTCACTGATCTCATTTCTTTCACACCTTAACACTGAAGGCACCAGTAAACCTCAGGTACCAACTATTGTTAATGACAACAAATATTCTATGTTTGGCTCAGCTTCTGCTAAATGCAACCTGCGTGAGCATATAAATAACGTAAACGATGGGAAACAAAGAAATGAGAATTCAGATGGATCGAATTTTTACAATAATATAGGTAAGCCACAACCAAGGTTATCTGAAAATGGGTCTTGTGACACAGAGAAAGTCAACCATATGGTCAACAACAAGCAGGCAGCTGACGCTAGAGTTCTTATGCCAGCTACTTTTGGACAGCTTCTTAATGGTGGTTCTTCAGTGGATAGTAGGAAGTTTTTCCTGCATTTCAATCAGCAATCCAGCACGTTGCAAACAGGACCTGACTCGATGAACTTCAACTACGGAAAATCCTCTTTTGGTATGAATGGAGACTGTTGTAGTCATACTGCTAATAACTATGTGAATCCAGTTTCTTATGTGGCTGCCAGATCCGGTCTTCTAAACTCAGGAACCGCACTGAATGTCACTTCAGCAAACTCCTTGTATATTTCAGAAAAAAACTCTTCGCAGATGCATGCAAAGGTTATTGACCATAGCCAGCATATGACTGATGATAGTATGAAATATTTGGCTTTGAGGCGCATGGTTGATTTGTCCAAAGAGAAGCAATCCACTGCTACCATTGGAGTGAATACCAGGAATCGTAGGTTTTGCTGTCATTCAGATACAGAACTGCAAAAAAAATTATGTAAAGGTGATTCAGCAGCAGTGGATGTTCCAAGGCCGAGCACTCATCATGAGGTTCAGATGAATAGAAATGATTCTATTATTAGATCTCTACGATCATGCCCTACCTGTTTCTCTGGTAATGCTTCTGAGATGTTAGCAACTAAGACTGACACCAGAGGTGTGGTTCTTATTTATGTATAAGCCATATCTTTACAAATATAAAACTCTGAACATCTAGCTTTAGCTGTCACTTAGCTGGATAAGCACAAAATTTGCTCTTATGATTGGATGTATGCAGGTGGAAATGAGTACTGCAAGTGTACAACTTTGGCACAAAGAATTCCACATTGTTCCAAAGAGCAGGACATCACTACCTGCCATGTTTGTTGGGCTGATGAGCATCCATGTCTGAGGTATATCAGTTGAATTACAGTCTTAGTTTTGTTCTCTTAACGGTCTAAATGACTGGGGCTTTGGGAACTTTAACTGTATTTGCACATCATATTTTGTCACCACAACTCCCAAGTTCTGGTGCGGTTAGGGAGTTTTGGTTAGTGGCGGAGTCCTTTGACTATATCTTTTAGGCTGCTATGTTTATTCATATGAAATTTTGTGTAAATTTCTGATGTGTTTTCATGGGGTTTTTTTTTCGCCTAGATTTTTTGGTGTCCTTTTCATGTTTGATCCCTATTTCAGGTTTGGAAGAATCTCAACCTACGGTTCTGGTAGTGCTAAGCAAATAGTTGATCAGAATGAACAATCTACATCTTTTTATGGAAATTGCTGCTGTTCTGTGCTTCCAAAGAATTTGACAGGCTGCTGTTGCACAAGATATTTTAGCTCGTCCGACTCCAAGAAACAAGACGCTTGTGGGAAAGATGTAATTAAGCACATCACTCAAGCTTGTGATGAGATCCACAGGTCTCCAGATATGAAAACTATAGATTTATGTGAATGTACTAAAAATCATTTCGTCATGAGGAATGACTGCCAGACTGGTCTATGGAGGGATGTTCCGACCAAGAAGATTGGACATTCTGATGCTACCTCAGTTGACAAGCCTACGCAGGAACCAAAAGCATCTGGAAGGACAAGAGATCAACTTCAAGAAGCTGCTAGTAAAGGTTTTGAAGGAACTCAACAAGTGGAGTCAACTAGTGAGCAACAGATGTCTAATGTTTGTTCTGGATCCTCTGTTCCTGGAGTAACTGAGGTTTCAGTTGAAGTTAATAAAGTTAATTATTGTCTCACAAATGTGGAGGATAATAAGACGTCTTATGATTTTGCTGCTGATGAAGGGTCAGGAGTTGAGAAGTGTGGTTCATCTGATGAAGCACTTGATGTTAGAGATAGCGGAGAAGATCCTGCCCTGAATGGTAAGGTAGACCAAGATAAATCTAGGTGCTCTTTACCAAGTCAGATATCTGGTGACCTTATTGAGGAGCTCAGACTAGAGAGTTCATCTAACAAGAGAAAAGCAAAAAATCAGATGCATGTTCAATGTATCGATCAAGCAAACATTAAAAAGAGAAAGGTAAAGAAAGCAGAAAAGAGAAAGGAGCAGATGCACATGAATAAACTGGACATGTTAGTTCCAAATTCAGATTTGCATCCAATAAATTCTGAGTTTTCCCATTGTATTGGCCACACGGACTTGGGAATCTCTCCATATGATAAATGTAAATCTCCCTCGCAACCTGAAACTGGGATGCAAAAGTCGAGTGTCAAGCGAAAACGTTCAGTTTTGTACTTAACTGAATCTGTTTGTTTAAAGACCAAGAGCCAAAGCCATAATTTGGAATTTGATAAGCTACACTCAGTTGATGATAATCAATCTCTCGGAACAGAAGCAATTTCATCTGGAATGGAGGAACTAACTGTGCGTAGGCAAAAAGATTCTGCTAAAGTGGAAGGGATTCATTTGAATTCTGAAAAGCCCCCCAAGTATATGTCACTTAGTTGTTTTACACAATCCGAAAAACATGAGAAGGAATTCATTGATAAGAAGGTAAGGCCTGTGGTAAATGGGAAATCTGGTGTTATTACAAATGGAATGAGTGGTCAGAAAAGACCTCCCAAATTTGTTTCTCTACGCTTGATTCTTGAAAAATCTAAAAGGTGTGATGTAAGTGAACCTGAAGCAAAAGATGAAAAGTCATCTGCCTCAGAGTCCAGAAAATTGATCCATATGACAAGTAAGCACTGCAATGAGTTATCTCGAAAACTACAGTGTGAAAATGAAGATTCCAATCGAAATGACTCGGAGGCTACAACTGTTCACATGTTTGGTACCAATAAGCAATGTTCCAGCAAAAGTGATGACCATAGAGATAACTGCTCCATAACTGAGAATGAGATAGATACTGAAGATAACAGAGAGGAAGAACCTGTTTTACATCACTGTTATAAGATTTCTCAGACAAGACCTAAGTATAGAGAAGTCCGCAAGTGCAGCCTTAGTAAACTTCTTGAAAAAGATAAGCCTGCATCTAGTAAACTTCCTGAAAAAGATAAGCCTGCATCAAAGTTTTTCTTTGCACAAAATCCTGGTGTAAATTGGAATTCAGCAGCAAATGCACCAGTTCAATGCAAAATATTCGCGTCAACTGCAATGGGTGACTCCGCAGTTGGTGAGTAGCTTTTATTTGTTCATCGTGCTAGAAGATTTGCTTATAATATTGTTAATTCTTTTAAGTATAATAGATCCCGCATTAGGGCATTCTGATCTGCTTGTTCTTATGGCAGAATTTATCCAGAGTGTGCTGTTCTTCAGTGATTAAAGAAGCAGAAATGGGAAATTATTAGTATATATAAAGCTATATTGTTTTAACTTTAAAATTGTGCATTTCCAACAGATACCAGTCTGGGGAGAACTCTGAACACTGAAGATCATGCAGGTGAACGGAGTCAAATCGACACAAGGTTCACAAGAATCTTACTTGATATTCACACTGAAAAATATTTTATTTTGGGCTTTTTGCAACATGAATTATGTTTCTATCTGCCATCTTTTGTTAAGTGACCTTTTTGAGTGCAGATCTGGCAAGATTCAGAAGCACCGACCATTTGTTTCAAGTTTAGATATATCCTGTTGTGTTTGTGGAAGATCAAGTAAAGAAGAATTCAACTGCCTATTAGAGTGCAATCGCTGTTTGATTAGAGTATGTTGCATTTGCTCCTCAATATCGATATATTGTTCTTTTGTGAAATTATGTTGAGTGGATTACTATAACTCGATGCAGGTCCATCAGGCCTGCTATGGTGTTTCAAAAGTTCCGAAAGGGCATTGGTTCTGCAGACCATGCAAATACAACTCCCAAAACACAGTGAGCAATTAATATGTGGTGCTTTATGTAGTGATAATATGCAGCTGGTATTATTAATGTTATATTCATTACTTATTCAAAACTCGGCCACTTGATGCTGATATTAGTTATTTTGCTTGCATATTGAGGTTAATAACTACAGAAGGTCTTATGTTGCAAACCTGTAACTTCATTTTTGAATCACCTTTGGAGCAACTTTAAGGTGAACAATTTTGATACTGCTTAAAATATAATAATCCCGATATACATTTCAAAGGAGCAAAATGCAATAAATTGCTAGAATCATATTGCTTTAAGTAGAAAATTATAGCCTTTAGATCATTATAAAATATTTAAGGCATAGTAATAATAAAATTGTTACGCTCTGGGTCCGCAAGCCTGTTGGCGCGATATAAGCGATATAAACTATGGGACCCACCGAGTGTAACGCGATGTTTGGCTAAATCCACTGCTGGAAAGTGTTAGCACTTATTACACTTTGAGCCTTTGACGTATCTATTTAAGCCACTCAAGACATTTCACACTTTCCCGATGTGGGACTAAACACTTGGGAGTCTCACAATCACCCCACCTTACATATGCGATGTCGTCGTGACATGATAATTTACACATCCCAGTATAGCCTGGCAATGTGGACGCTAGAGGTGGCTCCAATGGGCTCTAGAGGTGGCTCCTAGTGCACTCACGCGGTGTAGCACTTAGCCTCTTGGTGCGATATAAACCGTGAGACCTACTGAATGTAACGCGTTGTTTGGCTAAATTCACTGCCAAAGAGTGCTAGCACTTATTACACTTGAGCCTTTGGCATATCTATTTAAGCCACTCAAATATTTCACACTTTCCCAATGTGGGACTCAACACTTGGGAGTCTCACAATTATATTAAGTATGCACATTGTAACTAGTAAGTCCTTCAGTTTATCTGATTGCTAGCATAGAGATTATATTCGAAGCAAACATAATAATATAGATATACACCCTCTCATGCAGGCATTTCAGGCTCTTGAAAAGGCCTTAAATTATAAACACGATATTTTCTGAAGGCAGCTGTGTTTCACTGAGGACCTCTTGAAGGTACTCTAGTACCATGTCAAAACATTACTTCAACCAAAAAGCATTACCTTATGGATTGCGCTCTAATAATATATAGGGTTAATTGCAAACAGAACCCTGTGGTATCACCCAATTGCAAAGAGACTCCGTGTAGTTCTATTTGCTGCAAATAGAACCCCTATAGTTCTACTTGTTGCTAATAGACCCCCTTTATTGGCCCAAGTGCGAATACACCACTTAGTGAACTTTTTTGACTCTTTTAAAAGTAAACAAAAAATAGCAACTGGATGTCTATCCTCACCAATAGAACTACAAGGGATCTATCCGCCTCAAAACATTTTAAACAATTTTAATAATTAAAAAAAATTCCCTCAGGGGCTCTATTCGCAAATCGTCACAAATAGAACTACAGGGGTCTATTCACAATTAACCCTAATGTACATATACTGAAAAATCAAGAATACTTGACAACGACAAAATTGATGGTATGACTATACTCATTTCCTATAAATTGCTTCAAAGCGCCAAATACTTTTTCCTACATGTAAGTAACACTGATCGTATTATTCCAAATAAAAAAGATGTAGTGTGCTTACAAATCGTTATTAGAAACGAATTCTTCTTTTAGGATCTTTTTGACTTGAATTCGTGCTTTATGGAGACTCGATTGTGATTGAAGAAGGTTCTGATGTTGTTGGGGGTATTTCATAGTTAGAATATTCAGGGAGTTTTATCAGCCAGGATTACTGGATGCTGCTGGACGCTAACAATTCATCTTCTAATGCTGTTTTTTACGGTGTTATTATATATGTAGGTCTGTGTTTTATGTGGATATGAAGGTGGAGCCATGACGAAGGCAGTAAAAACTCAGAACATTGTGAAAAGCTTGCTAAAGGCTTGGAATTTTGGCACCTTTGTGAAATCAATTTCTTCTTCTGAAACAGTAAAGGATGAATCTATTCAATCGTCTTCTGTTATTGAAGCATCCAAATGCAAGAATTCTGATTCAGTTACTGCTGCAAGATCAACATGTTCTGTAGTCTTTCCGGGGTCTTCTGTGGATACGATTTCCCAGAATCTGGATGGTGATAGGCTGCCAAAAAGAATGCAACTGCACAACAGTATAACTGCTGGCATACTTGATCCATCTGTCACACAGTGGGTACATATGGTTTGTGGCCTTTGGACCCCAGGTACACGATGCCCGAATGTTGACACAATGAGTTCTTTTGATGTTTCTGGTGCTTCAGCTGCCACAAAGAGTACTGTAAGTTATCTGATTTTAGCTAATTGAAATAAACACCACATTAGTACCTATCCTGAACGCATACCATCTCTGTTTCAGTGTTTGTCTTAATTAGAAATCTTGGAATTTAGTTTAGGCTGTTGTATTAGGTAAGTTGATTTCTCCTGTTTCTTATATATGTCTTTCAATCTACGTTTTTCAGGTGTGCTCCATATGTAACCGACCAGGTGGTTGCTGCATAAGGTGTAGAGTCCGTAAGTGTACTATATATTTTCATCCATGGTGTGCTCATCAGAAGGTAACACAAGTCCTCATATAGCTATAAATAGCCTGCTTCTATCTAGTCCTTGTGTTCTACAAGTTATATTGACTATTCATGTTCCCTTTATGAAAACAGTTCTGGCCATAATGTTAAATGTTTCAGTGTAGACTTGTGGTAGCTTCCTGCCACATGGGCATGGGTTTATACCAGTAACATACCACAGAAGCTGTGATACTCATTCAGTCCTTGGTTCATATTAGTAAGGAAGTGCTTAACATGCATTTAGAATAGTTTTGCTAAGTCCTCGTGAGGTCCTTATCCGTTGGGATTTTCTTCGACTATGTATGGTGTGACTTAATGTGATTGTAGAGCATATAAACATGCAACCTTTAAAGCTGTAATTGCAACTTGACATTTCATTTCCACACTGCAGCCTTTTAAGATAGTTGAAACATGTATCTAGCGGTAATTTTACTATACATTCTGTACTCATGGCCTACCCTTTTTGTAGGGTCTTTTGCAAAGTGAGACTGAAGGTGATGATAATGAGAATCTGGGCTTTTATGGGAGTTGTGTGTCTCATGCGGCTCAAGACGGTTTTCCTGTAGATAGTCATACTATGGATGCTGAAGTAGGTCCAAAAAAGGACTGGTCCTGTGCTCGGGCAGAGGTATTCGAATGTATTTTCAACAGTGTTCTCTTACATTTCCTTGAGGATCTTTATAAATGAATCTACGATACTTGGTTTTTCACCTACATGTAGGGTTTCAGAGGTCAAAAAAGTGAGGAGAGTTTCAAGCTCTACCACCGGAGGCCCCTAAACAATGACAACGGCGGATGCATTGTGTCCCAAAACCAGATAAATGCATGGCTTCACATAAATGGGCAAAAATCAATCATTAAACCAGTAGTAAAACCACCAAGTTCAGATGTTGAGTATGATATCCGGGTATATTTTTGACCTCCATAATTTTATCTAGCATATTGCAATACACTTCTTATATATCTGATGAATTGAACTAGTTGATGTCTGTCTTGTGTCGTGTCTTATAATACCTTTATTTTCTGTCAGCACTTCTAATTACTCAGCAGTCAGATGTATCAGTTACTTTTGACGAACTATGTCTCTGCAGTTGTACTTGACCTGGAATAGCTGAAACATTCTGGCAACAACAAGTACTAAGCATAATTTGGTGAAATTTTATGCTAGCAGTCAGATGTATCAATTATTTTTGACGAACTATGTCTCTGCAGTTGTACTTTACCTGGAATAGCACATTCTGGCAACAATAAGTACCAAGCACAATTTAGTGAAATTTTATGCCTGTTGAGATGATTTTTTTGTTATTCTTGTGCAGAAGGAATATTTCCGTTACAAACAGTCGAAAACTTGGAAACATCTGGTTGTTTACAAATCTGGCATTCACGCACTTGGTCTTTATACATCTCAGTTAATAGCACGGGGAGCTATGGTAACTTATTCCATTCAACTTGAAAACTTTGACATGTTCAGGGGACTTACCTGCTCTTTATGCCAGTTTTGCTTGTAAATTTGGTTTGCGGGGGTTTGAACATGAACAATATGTAGTAAGCTATGTGTTAGGTCTATACTTTTGGAGTTGGAAGTATAGAGTGTATATGAACAACTGAAAAATGGTAATTGTAGCAGGCTGCAACTCTTGTTGGAGTCCCAGCCTTTTCATTTCGAGAAAAAAAAGGGGGGGGGGGGGGTATTCCATTCAACTTAACTCGAGAAGTGCCTTCTCCTTAAACCTCTCCAGAAGTCACTCATTTTCCCTTTTCTTGGCCATAGTACATTATATTCTATGCTTAGCTTTTTTTCTCAATGTCTTCTGCAGGTAGTTGAGTATGTGGGCGAGATTGTAGGGCTCCGAGTTGCTGACAAAAGAGAAATTGAATATCAGTCAGGTAGAAAAGTACAATACAAGAGTGCTTGCTACTTTTTTAGGATTGATAAGGAGCATATAATTGATGCAACTCGCAAAGGTGGAATTGCACGATTTGTCAATCATTCCTGCCAGGTACTGAATCATTTTCCACAATGTAAATAAAAGTCCAATGTAAGTGCTTGTGCGGACTTCTGACATCATGTTTCTTTGATCTTTTGATGGGACCAGCCGAACTGTGTTGCCAAAGTAATATCAGTCCGGAATGAGAAGAAGGTAAACTAATATGTGGATAATTGATGTTTATTTCTCGTGATAGATGTATGATTTTGGAACCTTCAGAGTGTTACATCCCAGACATTGAATGTTTATTTCTCATGATAGATATGTTATTAAGTTGATATCTCAATAACCGAAAATGATAATACTAAGATTTCAGTTGTTAAGATGAAATATAATAGATATATTAAATGAATAAGAAAAGGGAAAAGTGTTCCTAAGTTGACACGTTAGATTCAATGTAAGGAAACATCTCTTGATGCATGGATAAAACTATTCCAATGGAGGATCCGCTTCATTTTTCATGATCTTAATGTCTCAAAACATCTATAACAAAATCATGATGTTTCAATACTTCTAACACTTGATGCATGTGTAACTATAACCCAATATGCCTAATTTTTTATTTATATACAGTCCCAATGTTACATTAAACGCTGGGCGCTTCTAGGCGTCAGACTTGGCGCCCAGCGCTTAGTCGTCTAGGCGGGCGCCTAAGCGGTTTCTAGGCGTTTTTTTCTTTCTTCATTTAAGTGATGATCGATGAAGTTTTGCTGAAGGTCGGAGGAGATAGTGAAGGTGTTCATATTTGGAGGTTAATGGAGTTTGGAGGACGTGTAGGCTACGACACATAAAATCACAATCAATACCTACAGGGTGCAATCCACGTAAGCAGACAATGCTCCTCTAAACGCTCGTAAAATCTAGGTGGGCAGCTTAAATACCGTTTAGGCGCTAGTTAGGCGGCCTATGTACCGTCTAGACCTAGGCGTACGCCTAAGCGGACTGGGCGGAGGTTTTTTAAAACAGTGTACAGTCCAAAGCATATAAATCGAAATGAACAGAGTGGATCAAGTAAATTGGTTGTAGATAATGTAGTTTGGAAGGTGTTTTTTTAGATTGAATCTAAAGATGTCAGCTTAGGTACACTTCTCCCATGAGATAAACCAACTAATTGATCTTAGTTTTTAACTATCATGAAAGCTCGAAAATTGTTAACACTTTGTTCTATCTTTTTTTTTAAATCTTCTTTTATTTTATTTTATTTTTTATTTTTATTTTTTTTATGATTTACCCCTCTTCTTTATTACTTCTTTTCTGTGCCCTACTCATCATTATATATATAAATATGTAGAAGAGATGGATAGCAAAAAATGTGTAACACCCTAAATTAGTTGGATTTGAGATAAGAGTTAAAGTATAAAAATTATGGCATAGAGCATGTGGAGTGGACGCTAGTCATCATCCACTGCAGACTATAGCATAACTAATTGCATTTAAACTTGTACACGTATAGAGAAGGCAAACCCTAATTTCTCTTGAATAGATATTAGGAGAATGTTATAAAATAGGTATGGGATAAAATCATATTTAATCACATATCACAATATATCAACATTATCTCGTAATATCTTCTAAACCTAAAATTAATAATGTCTAACACTCCCCCTCAAGCCGAAGCATATATTACTATATATATCCAGCTTGTTACAAATGAGAATAAACAATTACTTGCAAGAGATTTGGTAGTGTCATCCCGCAATACTTGAAGACGTTAGGAATCAGAAAATTGTAGTTACAACCAGTTAAAATCCCCCGCTAAAAAAAAAAGAGATTAGGGTTTTGTAGGGCATAAACTAAAGATGTCATAGCCGCTGAAGAGAGTATGAAGGCAATGCAAAACCCTCTAGACAGCCTCGAGAATCTAGAAAGATGAGAGAAGTCGCTAAGATCGAGTAGGCTCTTATACCATGTAGAGAAATAGAGAAGGCAAAGATATTATTCATCTAATCCTTAGAGATTAGGAGAATATTATAAAATAGATATGAGATAAAATCATATTTAATCACATCTCACAACATCTTCTAAATCTAAATGTCAATAATATCTAACAAAATCCTATCCAAACATAGCAATTTTGGGTGATACACAAACAAAAAGCATCACCTCACAAAAAACAACATTCATCGCATTAGTCTTTTCAACATAAACACAGACAACAAAAGAAAACTGCCAACTATATGCTGTGTATGCCGCCGAAGTAACCTCCTCATCACCACCATCATATCCCATGACATCATTGATTTTGTGTGTCCTCCTAGCCAACTTGATAGAAAATGCCAACTTCTTACTTGCTCCTATCCATATTAGATGACTACAATTAGCAATAATTCTTAGAATCTTCACTTGAACCCCTTCAAAAGTAAATTTGGATTTTCACTGAGATTCCTACTTTTGCTGGTAATCCTATTTTTTTTCTGATAATCCTACTTTCTTCCTGATAATCCTACTTCTGCATGATAAATTTGTATTTTTGACTGAGATGGATTTCCTTTCACCGTGCAGGTTGTTTTCTTCGCTATGAGGGATATAAATCCTGGGGAGGAGATTACTTACGACTATCATTTCAACAGCGAAGATGAAGGACAAAAAATCCCATGTTATTGCAATTCGAAAAATTGTAGGCGGTATCTCAATTAAACCGGGAGTAATCAATTGCAGTCCTGCAGCAGCGAAGACATGCATTTTCCCCCAATCCCCGTTGTACATAGTTTCATTCTATTTAATTTATCAGATACTTTTAGCTATTTATCGAGCAAATGTGCCATGTTTGTGTACGCTGCATAGTGTCAGTTGTAATTAGACTGCATTTATGGTTTAAAAAAACTGCCCGGGCAATGAATGAGCTATGTTAATGGTTCCAAATTTTTTTCATCCCATCTCAGACGTTTATTATTGGCATGATTTTAGGGCTGATGATTACAGATTGTGGAGAGGTTTGTGGGCAGAGAGAATATCATTGAATCACCCTTTCGTTCTTCGTCACGTTGAGGAGCGTGATGCAATTTTTTTTATAATATCTGATGGTTCATGTAGAGATTTTTGTTGCATCTTGATGTTGATAGTTTGTATATTTTTGGGGTTGATGGTTAAGGTTATGGAGATGTTAGTGGGCGGAGAGAATATTATGGAGTTAAATTTTCATTCCTTGCGGAAATGTGATGTGAGTTTTTCACAACACTTACTGTTTCATATAAATGGTTGTTTTTTCCCCCTGTTGACATATGATCTGGGGAAAGCAGAGATTAACAAAGTGCATAGGTGTGTAGTATTTGGATAGTTTTAGCAGTTTGATTCTATACAAATCTAAGAAACGTTTGTTGTTTGGATTGCATGATTTTCCCTCTAAGAAAATTAACAGCTAACCAGTAAAACCATTGCATGAGCAACTGAAATATAAAATATACATTGACATGTCCCCAAAAAGAAAAGGTTGGAATCAAATGCAATCAATTATCAAAACAAAGCTAGACTATTATTAGATCCAAAACCCATTTGGATCATCTGATACATAAAAAGTGCAAACTGTTTCCACATTAAAAAATAAAGGGTCCAACAAACAATTACAACACTAGAACATCACTCAATTCCTTGAAACCCAGAAAGGATTCTGGTCATCAACAAAAGGGTTGTTCAAGAAACAATCTCTACTACCATCATTCTCCTTCTTGCTTGCTGCATTGATCAGATTTTGATCATCATCATCAATGAACGGATTGTTCACAAAAGAATCTCTACCACCATCATAGTTCCTTCCTGGATTCAAAGCAGCATGATCCCGAAAAAAGAGGTTTGGATTATAGTTCTCCTCATTCTCTTTAAAAGCCACCCATCTCGTCGAACCACTCTCATTCTTCTCCTTCATCTCCCCAACATGTTCTTTGAATTCCTTCTTCACGACATCAATCACAATGTCTCCATATTTATCGCACCACGACCTGCAAAACATCGTGAAACTTAGTTATAGCTATATATGTATATATCTTCATAATATGTGACAACCAATGTTAAATTACTAAGCTCGTACTTAGGGAAGAAATTGTTCAAGTCAGCCTTGTCAACGGGGAGCCTAGTCGATATTGCTTCCATTTGATCATCCCTATCAACAAGATTTAGAAAGATATGAGAAAATACAGTTTAGTTCTAAGATGTATATAATCAAAAATATTGACAGGGGAAAAAAAACTTACGATAAGTTGAGGTTTGGATGAGTTGCAGATAACTCAGTTTGAATACGAGAAAGCTCCTTCTTTATGTTATCACCCAAAACCTTATCAATGAAGAAATCTGAAGAGGCCCCATTCGAATGAATCTTCTTCTTAATTCTCTTTGTATCAGGACCTTCACCTATAGGACTAGCAACAAGAGTGCAATTGACTGAAGAAGAATTATCATCTGATCTGTCCTCTGATAAAAGATAAGGCTCTCCTTGATCACAATTACTATTTTTCTTCCATTTCTTTAGACCATCAAACTTCCATTTCTGCTCTTTATCGAACAATGAACGAAAAGGCTTCCGTTTGGACTTTTCAGAGGAGTCGGGCATGAGGATTGAAGGGGTAGCAGTCTCAGTGTTCTTATCTCTGGCTCTCGTGTCTTTGTTTTTCCAGTTGATGAGAGATTTTATGGGGGTTTTGTGTTTTTTGGTTTTTTCAGCTGAGGTTGGCGTTTCTTTGTCTCTGAGCTCAATGACTGACCACTGTTCTTCTTCTTCATCTTCTTGAGATTTTGTTGTTGTTGCTGTTGGATCTCCGATGATTACATCTTTGCAGTCGAGCTCAACGCCTTGGATCGCGAGGCGTTGAAGGAGTGGCCTCTTGGAGGAGTGGTATTCATCAGCAGAGATGCATTTTGCATAGAATAGTTCCTGTTTAAAAAAACCAAAATTGTAGCAGTTTTGAGTAAGGATGAGAAACTGGGAATACTCAATTAGCTCTATGAACTTGTCTTAAATAATAAATCTGGAGAAAATGGCTAATCTCTGAATATGCCAATTTCAAATGATCAGATTGTTTGACAACAACCCATTTTGGTCCTATAAATTAAGCCGAAACTTCATCTAATTATTCTGCTTCAAGTGAATATAACTAAATTTCATATTTAATCTTAATTTCCTATAAATCCAAATAACAATAAGAACGAACTTATATGATCAAAGATCAAATTATTATCATTTGTTAATCAAGAACTACATCTTCTGTGTCCAAATTCTGCTTCAAGTGAATACAACTACAATGTTGATCACAGGCAAAAGCAAATACTCAAAGTGAATCCAACGGAAATTAAAAAAATTGTGAATGATGCCCATTTCAAATTATCCTATAGAATTTCGACAATTACCCTTTTTCAGCTTTATAACTAAAATTTCACCCTTAGCTCCGATTTATTCTGTTTCAAGTGAATATAACTAAAATTTTGTTAATAACCCAATTATTATCTACGCCAAAACTTAATTTCCTTCAATCCAAGCAAGAACAGTAATTTATACATGATTAAACACAACAAATGCAGCTGACCCTTTTGCATTCATGATCCCCTGATCAAGAAGAGTTTTTTATTTTTTATTTAAAGGACCCAGATTTACCTGCAAGAACAGCAGCTTATCTCTGATCAACCCAACTGGTTCCTGCTCACTAGGAGATGCAATGAGAGTATCAAGAAGATGATACCGAAACCTCAATACCTCGGCATCAGCCACAATCCCTTCCTTGTTCAACCCAATCAAGTTCAAGATCTTGTGGAAGCTCTCCTGCTGCCATTTGAGGTTATCAGACTGCTTCTTGGCGAACTTCTGATCTCCGGGCAGCCGCCGATTCTTGAGAGAGAAAGGAAGAAGGATTGACTTGCAGAGAGAAGTTAGAGTGTCTTGGAATGAGGAGTAGTATGTTGGAGTGTAAGTGTACACCATCTTCTTCCTTTAATTTTATTTTTATTTTTATTTTTATTTTTTCTCCCTTTGATTTTCTTTCTTCTTTTGGGGGTTTGTTCTCTTTGGGGGGCTGAAGGAGTTTTGATGTTGAGGGAAGCTTTGATGTCCACTGTGATTTTATTTTATTTGGTTCTAAAATGGGGGTTTGTTGGGGTTTTGAAGGATTAAATTTTTGGTGAACAGATTCTGCCAACGGTCAGAAAAACTAGCCGTTGCGGAGGCTCTCATGATGCTTTGCGCTAAAGTGCGCGCTATAACGTGTGTTTGTATGAAGGCCCATGGGCCGTAGAAGGCTCTGCCTGGGCCGTAGAAGGCTCTGCCTTGTTCTCTAATTTTTTGCCCAAAGAAAGATAAGTGTCTTTTGGGCCTTATGTCTTTGATGTAAATTTATGAACAAAAAGGTTTTTACGTGTTCACTTCTCAAAATGAATTATCAACCACGCCTTAAAATATTATGGAACTTTTTTTTTAAGAGTTGACATCACACTAGTGTATTACAAATATTATTTTTTCATGGATTTGGTATCTCCTTTTGGATTATATTTCAGATCAAACTGTCGCAAACCTTTTTTTTTCCCCTTTTCTTTATTGATTTTACCCTATATTTCATGGTTCGGTTCCAATAAGAAGTATGAGCCCAAATTGTTTAGTCTAAACTTGACCAAAACGTGAAGTCTTTGGTGCCTTAAAAGACGAAGGACGTCGGATATCCAAAAGTTAACAAACTATAGCTAGCATTTGGCTGTTTCTTTTGATATTTGTTGTCATTTTAACCCCAAAACAAAATTAAAAATTAAGAAAGTTCTTTCATCAGCTGTCTTGCGCGCGTTTAACTCATCAGCGTCAGCAACTTCCTTCAGCATGAGCCTAATTATCAGGTAAGAAGGTAAAGAACGTTTTTGATTTTCTTTGTTTAATTGATGAGTCAACATACTCTATAGATATTTTGCCTTGCCTTTTATATTCTTTGTTGTTATTACTTCCTATGAAGTGGCGTGAGAGAATTAACTTCAAATTTAATTGTAGTTTTTTTTAAGATCCGAATCCTTTTCAACTACATGGTAATTGAAGAGAGTCCAATTCTAATGGGTAGCGTGATTTCGCACATTGGAATTGAGATAGGTGGTAAGAATTGAGAGGATTGAACCTTCTCTAATTACCACATAATTGGAGAGCATCTGAATCCATAACTTTTCTCTTTTTTGCATGACTTCAAACAGAAGTTTCAGGCATGCAGCCTCATTCCCTCATCTCTCTCATTATGTTTATGTCAGAAGATTGATATGTGATTCAGGAAAAGTAAAACATTACTTATGGGTCCATTAATCACCTTTGATGGCTAATCTTTAGTTAAGGACCTTGATCTGTACTTCGCTACACGGCTAACAAAGGTTAGAGTCATGGGAGATTGTTTCTTTCGACGTGGCCTCCGACACTCAAGTCAGTGACTGTTTCTAGTGAATCTGAAGAGAAAAACAGAATATAGTCTTGTTGATTTTTTTGTGTATGAAATTGTGTACATTGGTTTGGTGGAGATCACCATTATTTGTAGAGGGTTTACGGGAGCACATCGGTAAATTTAGCCTAGTGTGTATAGCTTTGGTTCAGACACTACTTTACATGTGTCGATAATTGATTGGTCGAGTCATCTTTGCATAGTGATGAGACTGTTGGAGTAAAGGAGTGTCCAAGGAGCTTTGAATGCTCTAGCTTGAAAGATCATTGTGACTGATGTTGCATTACTTGTTGATGGCGACTAGACGGCAGAGTGCGATTGCTGACTATACACTCATTAAATACAATATGACTTTTGATGACGCTTGTCAAGTCATTCCACTGCTCGAGACGCGTTGTATCGCCGATTGGAGAGTGCTCTTTGTCTTAGAGTCGGACATCCAGTAGAGTCCGGGTCAGAAACGCTTTTTATCTCGGATTTAGATTGCGAGGCGAGTCGGCTGACTTATCACTCGAGTTGTGCTTGCAGATGCTTTAGGAGTCGACCAGTTAATTACTACGTGGCAACTCTTATTGGTTTTGATAATTTTTAGGGTATAACACATTATATTCAATCTTTTGTTTGTTTTGTGAGTTATCTATGGTTGTTGATATTAATGGAATTGACAAGGTATTGAGAGATTTTATTGGGTCTAAATTATGTGTCCAATTTTATTAAGAGTTTTGAAAATGGCAAAACAAATCTTTTTCTTAATGCAATCGTGCCTCTAGCTAAATTTTATTTCTACAGCTGTCTACAAATTTCTTGACCTGTAAAAATTTGTCTAGAATGAAACAAATATCATTAATATAATTAAAATCCTTCAAGAGTAAAGACTCTTTATCCAATATTTTTGTAATTTTTCACTTAAAATGATGTCAACAAAATAACTTATTATCATATAGTTTTCATTTAACTTGTTAAATTAAATAATAATAAAGTTAGCGTGGGTTCGGAGAGTACAAACGCTAACCAATATAGAGAAGAAAAATGATACAGGCACACTCTCAGGTATACTCCCTCTCTTGCCACAGTGCACTGAGCCCCACATGAGATTTTTTTTAAAATCTCATGTGAGACTCAGTGCACTGTGACAAGAGAGGGAGTGTGACTGAGGGTGTGTCTGTGTCTGAGAGTGTGCCTGTAGTGCCTCTCTATAGAGAATGCATCTGCAATGAATCTTTTTTTTACTGTACCTAGACACTAGGTGCTACTAGGTGTCTGAAACATCTTTTGATTAAATGTTTTGATATAGTAATACATATTTGATTCCATCCATAAATCTATTTTAAAGAAAAAATGTTACATAAAAAGATTAGGATAACTAAATTACACTAAACCTCCTTGAACTTTTAGTGTTTTGCAGTAAATCCCATAAACTTTCAAAATCACACCAAAAACCCTATGAACTCTTTTAGAATTGCAGAAAACGCCTTTGAACTTTCTGAGTTTTATAGATAACCCTCATAAATTAATAGAACAAAAAACAACATAAAATGGTATTTTGAAAGCATATAGACGTGTAGTGTGATTTTGAAAGTTTATGGGGATTTACTACAAAACTCTGAAAGTTCACCGGGATTTAGTGAACTTTAAAATAAAGATTACAAAGGTGGAAAAAAAGAAGGAATTCGTTTATGTTGGAAATTGATGATAAATTTGGAATGAAACTGAGAATTAGATGTGCTGTATTTTTAATTTTTTTCAGTTAACTGCTGTGCGTTATAGAAACGGTGTGCTTAAAGCAATATTTGGCCTACTCCGGTGCAAGGATCCCAAGGCCAAACTGCTTCCAGGAACAGCAGTGCAATACTCTGGTATGCACCAACCCAGTATTGACAAGATCTCCTCGATCTATAAGACCTTTCGGTCTAGACAAAAGATCTCCTCGATCTCAGAACCTTTCGGTTCAAAACCTTTCGGTTTAAGATAAGTTCTTATGGGCACAAGTTCCTGCAGCAGCAGCACAACAGCAATATCGTCAGGATCGACGTTCGTATTCCAGCACGCGACGTTCGTGTTCCACGCTAGCGAGAGGATTTCAGCTTTTTAGCAGATTAACCAAGATCTGCCTAAGGGCGCTATTTATAGGCCTCTAAGGCTAGCTCAAGAGTCACAAGAAATTAATGTGACTGTTACAATTCTTAATGGCAATTAAGATTATAACATTAATGCATTAAATTGCTCTTAATGCTGTTGTAACCGCTGCATGTATTAACTCCTGAATACGAGGCAATCAATGGACGCGTTGCTACGAAACGCGAGGGTCACGTCTCAACAAATCAGACGAACCTCGTTTGACAAACGAACGTCGTCAAACAAGCGAACCTCGTATGACAGACGAACCTCGTCGAACGAGCGAACATAGTCAAGCAGGCGAACATCGCATGACATACGAACCTCGTCGATCAAGCGAGAACCTTCGTCAAACAGGCGAACCTCGTATGACAGACGAACCTCGTCAACAAGCGAACCTCGTATGACAAACGAACCTCGTCGAACGAGCGAACATAGTCAAACAGGCGAACCTCGTATGACATGCGAACCTCGTATGACATACGAACCTCGTCAATCGAGCGAACCTCGTCAAACTATGAGAACGCTAGGGTCACCCTCGTGCGAATACGCAGCTCGTCCGCATGCTGCGAAGCAGCCTGCGAGGTAACCTTTGTGGCGCCACCTCGCCCCGATGCATCCGTGCAAAGTGCAAAGTGCGCCTAACAAAGCGTCACTTAGCGCCTCAGCCCGATTAGCCCCGATCCCCGACCTATTGGCCCACGACCCACGGCTCACGACCCACTAGAACTTATGAGGGATTAATTCAAATAAAACACTTCTCGGCTTGTCGTTGGCAAGCTTCGAACAAAAGACCTTTTGAAATACCAAAATTTTAACTTTCCACTAGGCTACAAAGCATTTATAAAAAGTACTTGTAGTTAATATATATATAGTTTGAAAACTCATTTTGGAAAGCTATTTTTGACCAAAAAATCCAACAGTTTATCCATTCACAATAAACACAAAGCTTGGGAGAGCGTACCAACCATTATCCTCAGCAACCCAAATCTCATATCCATACTCCAATCATTCATTGTTCTCAAAGGCAATCTATTCCCTGCAATTTAAAAAAAACAAAAACAAAAAACAAAAACAAACAAAGAATACTATGGAACGAAACCTTATCCTTTATAAAGAGTCTGAGATCTGGTCACCGCCCCCGTCGAACGTGGCGATGCGGCGGCGCCCTCCCGTGAGCTGTCTCGGATGGGGGGTGAGAGATGTTATTTAATTACCGCGTAAAGTGTAGATTCCACTCTTGAAAGACCCCCAAATATGTATTTCCATTATAATTGACTAAAATGCCACTGTTATCCGTAACCGAAACTACCCGCTTCGCGCTCGCGGGTTTGGAAATGGCATTGGCTTTTTGACATTCTGCCCCTACTTCTTATTTACTACTTGCGAATTTAATTATTTTCCTTTTTCTTTCAACTATGTAATTAACATCGATGTGATATAAAACAACGGGTGCTGGGGTGAAATTTCCGCGCAAATTTTATCTCGCGAGAAATCTAGAGTTCAATTTTCAGGGGGAAAGATATTAGCTTGTAAATATGTTAGATTGAAAGATGTAAGCTTATTTGTGAAATATGTGCATCTCTTCTATGCAAAGAATTTGTCTATCAAGAATATATAAGACAGTAATAATCGAGTATGGAAAAGGACTACTAGACTGTAATCTTTACAAATTAGAATTCTTGCTTAGCGCTTTTAACTTTATAAGTATGCGTCTTCTAAGTGTAGACTCTAGAGTTTAGTAAGAGAACCAAAATAACATGTGTATTGTAAAAAGAAGTAGAGAAGAAACAAAAATATTAGAGAATTTCCGGATTTGTGAAGATCTTTGGTGAGATTGAGAGATGATTTTTGCGGGCTTCTTGATGAACAAAAGAAAGATTGAGAGATTGCCGGCATGATTGTTTAGCTATTTATTTTTTTCGATATTTTTCTTGTTGTTGTTTTCTATTGCAAAGTAAGTTATTTATTTATTTTTACTTTTCGCCCTTGATTAGAAGGAAATGGTCCGGGTGAGAAGAGTCAGACACGGAAAATTAGGATTCATGTTTTTAGTAGGGTTTCCTGGAAAAATCTTAAAATTAAAGGAAGTTTCTGATAATATCTAAACTTAGGGGGCTTTCAGATATTTTGAAAGTCAGGGGTTGTCTAACTTAAGGGGCTTTAAGATATTATAAGGGGATGTTTGTTTTAAAAAAAAAAATTGGCATTTGGGTGGGATTTCAAATTCTAGGATCAAAAAGTGGGTTTTTTTTTGGGTTTTAGAATTATATAAAACTTGTTTGTTTCAAAACAAATTTTAGAATATCAAATCCCTAAATAATAAAAAAGAATTATATTTAAGGATTTGTGAAATGCTCTTTTTTGGGTGGGAGGTGGGGTGGATTTTAAAAGTGTTAGACAAATTAAGGATTTCAAATTCCAAGAAGTTTAAAACAAACAAAAAATATTACAAATTATAGTATTCCAAATCCCAAAATATTGTTGAAACAAACAAAGTTAGGAATCCCAACCCATAACAAATTACCTATGGATTTTAAATCCCATAGTGAAATTCATATCCTAAAATTATAGGATTTGAAACAAACACTCACTTAAGAGGCAGGGTGTTATCAGACTCCCATCATTTTTTATATTTTAGCCTAAAAATATGATAAAGATAACTTTAGGCACACTAGTTTTTTTATTTTATTTTTTTTACAGTTTTTCTATAGAGTGCCCATGAGCACTCTATAAGAGATAAGAGAAATAGAGAGAAATGAATAACTCATGAGCCCCGTTGATTTGCATTAATTTCTGTGCATAATCTAAAAAACCGAAGGGTAGTCTTATCCCGAAAAAAATCTCTTTTGACGCTCTGAGCCCGCGCTGTCCTCTGCCGTCATTTCCTCCCCCTACCCTACAAATATCGCCCCCCACACATCCTCTTCACCGCACACAAATCGCCTCTCTTTATTCTTCTTCTTCTTCTTCCTCCAAAAACCCTAATCCAAGGAATTCCAATCGAAACCCTAACCCTAAAGAAAACTTCGTCAATGGACTTCGAATCCTCATCGTCCTCCCTAAAGCACAAGATCCGCTCCTCGGTCTGCTTCTCCTGCTGTTTCAGCTCCTCCGTCGCCGACGATCCGCCGCCGTCGCTGATCCGATCATCCTCCACCTGGATCCGATCCAAGGCTCACGATCTCCCCGAGATCAAGGTCCGCCGATTTCAGGTACGATCCGCTAAGCTACGCGCTCAACTTCGATGAAGGGAACGGCGACGACCTTGAATTCGCCGACGAGGAGTTTCGGTGCCGGAACTTCTCGTCGAGGCTGCCGGCTTCGCCGCCGGAGACGCAGAGGGCGGTGGTCCCGGTGACTGTTGGTGTCGCCTGCAGTTAGATGCAGTTGTAAGATCTGCGTTGTGTGTGTACGTATATTTGTGATTATAAACTCTCTGTGCTTCTTTAATCTTAAAGCGAGGTTGAAAATTTTGTTATTTGTTCTTACATTTTGAGAGTGAATTTTGAGGATTGATCAGATTGAGATGGAGAGAAAGAAAAATTTTCTTTCCTAATTTTTTTACCTCTTAATTGTGTATTAATGCTAATGTGCGCCGCTGAGTGTAACTGCCGATTGAGGCTTAGAGTGCACGGGGATTGATTAATTAATTAATTAATTGTGTTTAATTACTGTGACGTTATCATGTCAAAAGATTCAGTTAAACGTCATTTTAATTTTTAATTAAAGATAATTCTATATTTGGGGGTTTTTTTTTGAGAAGTTCTAGTACCGTCAAAATTAAGCTGACGTTGGATTTTTGGAAGCGTCAGAGGCTCGGGGCCCACATTTTTGAACATATGCTTTGGATTACAGTGAGGGGTCAAGCAAGGCTAAATGGAGCCGTGATGGAGGAGGGATAATGTGCTACCGTGTGAAAGGCACGTGTGCGGATGTTGTAGGCGGAGTAGAAGTTAATTGCTGGTTTCTTTCTTTAATCCAAGGCGAGGAAAGGGACTTTTTACGCGAGGAGGGAGATACGTTTTGAGGCAAAAGTGACTCTTATGAAGTGGACAACATCTTTAGACAAGTATCTATCTATAAGGAGAATCATACGTGACAAATCTTGAAAAAGTAGACTTTTCATCATGTAGGAATCTCATAAGGACACGTTTGGTTGCCTCTTTTAGAGGGGGAAGTGAGTTGAAAGCCTGTCAAAAGTGTCAGTTTTGACAGACTTTCTTACAAAAACGCCTCTAAAAACTGACACTTTTGACAAGATTTCCCCTTCCCCCTTATGTAGGCAAACAACCCCTAAGCGAAACATTACGCGTAGAGTGATTTGCGCAAGGGTAGGCCAACGAGCCGTGTTCACTCTGTCCTTGTCAGGCCAGCCATGCGGTTACTCAGTGACAAGGCGAGCCTGACCCACGGAGTTGAGTGAGCCGTGTTTTGCCGCTTGTTCTCGAACCTAAAGCTCAGCCCAAACCGCTCGCAACCTTAAAATCATGCAGGATGAGCTATGACACAGGTTAGCTCATTTGACCCACTTAATTATTATTATTATTTTGTTATTTTATAATATTTAACTATTTTTAATAGGTTTTTTTCAATATTGTTTAATACTTAAGAATTGTATGTAAATAGCAAACTAACAATGATATGATTACAAAAATTTAAAAATAATTTTATTAAGTAAAATTGCATATTTGTGTAAAATCACAGTGATAACCATCACAAACACAGAGATTTAATGCAGTTTGGAGCAAATTTTACATCAATGAGTAGCATAATATTGTTCCACTAGTTAAAAAATACAAGAATAAATGAAATTACAATAAACTTTAAAGGGAAAATATATTACTACCAACTAAATGTGAGGTTACCGGCAGAGACAAGGGAGTCATCCCGCTCATACAACACTCAGCCCGTTCGTTAGGCCCTGTGGGCCGAGCGGGTTGTTGGCTCGCATTTAGCTTGAGCCGACCCAGCACGGTTCTACAGCCCGCTACTCTAGTGAGCTGAATCGGATCCGTCCCGCGCTAACCCGGATTGAGCGGAGCCCAAGAGCTGGCCAAGCGAACAGGCTCGTGGGCTGACCCGGCCCAGTGCCTCACTGCACCGTTAATTTCGAAACTGAAGTTCCAACCCCCATGGTAGAAACATCACTTCACTTTTCCGGGTGAAGTGGACGGTGGCTATTTTGCATGAGCATATGATCACATAGGCTTTTTTTTACTTGCCCAACGAGGAAGTTAGTATAATTCACTTACCTGTTTGGTTATTTCCACACAAAAATGGGAAATGGAAAACTCATCCTTGAAATGATTTTAATACATTTCAAGCACATTTCTCAGATTTCTTTTTTTTGGTTTGTTTCGCAAAGAAAACTCCACATTTCAATGCCAAGTCAGACAAACAGATAAAAAAAGCCTCCATAGTAACAGTGCCCAGTTTTCTATTTCTTTTGTTTGTTTGAGAACAAGAAATCGGAAATGGGAAATGGGGCTATTAAATATTATGTTTTATTATTCTACACTATTCCAACAGTGATTTTACTAATTAATAATTCTTAGATGGGACATTTCCAAGTGTTTTCAGCCCAATTTGGTGTGAAAACACATTTCTTGAAAGTTTGAGGTGGCAGCCTACGTGGCGATTCATTTCTCGAAAATTAAAAACGAAACAAACATGAGAAATGAAAATCTCTTGAAAACAAAATCACATGTGACACTTGTTCATTTCTTAAAAGTTGAGGTGGCAAGAAATTTCCGGATTTTTTTTTTTTGCAAACGAACAGACCCCTAAATAGCAGGCAGACCCTCTGCCTACCTGAAGATTGAAAAGTAAACATCAACTAGCGTTTATAATAATAGCCTATAGGCTTGGAACCTATATGACACTGAGTTGTGTCTTTAATAAACTTATCATACAATTTAATCTGTTTTATAATTATATGTCTCGTCCTATTTGATGTTTATCTTGGGCCACACACCAAACCCTGAATCTACAATACTAGGGGTGGCCGGCGGCACCAGCTGGCTCGTCCCGCAAGCCCGGCAGGATCCGCGGGCCGACTTCGTTTGGCCTAGAGCTCATCCCCAGTCCATTTGTGGGCCCGGGAACAAACATGACGATTGACGAGACATGAAAAATCCATGTCACGGGCTGGCTCGTAGGCTCACTTATGTCTTTTTATTTTCCTTTTTTTTAATTCTAAAATTGTGATTTAATAGTTTTTGAATGTTGTTTAACTCTTAAAAGTTATATGTAAATGGAAAACCTAAAAATTAACGATTATAAGAAATAGAAAAATACTTTTATTAATTAAAATTTATATTTGTACACAATGATAGAGAGTAAATTTTTATATTTGCACACGGTGATAGAGAGAAACATTGTAAGAAATAGAAAAATAATGTTATTAAGTAAAATTTTATATTTGTATACAATGATGATGGAGGGAAACATTGTAAACCTGATATTTAATGTGGTTTAGAGCAAAGCCTATATCCATGGGCAACAGATAATTGTTCCGCTAGTTTGAAAAATGCAATTACAAAATAAATTACAACAAACAATAAGAAAAGAGGGAAAAAATAAGTACCCACAAATGCGAGCCTACATGACGGCACGAACATGTTAGATCATCAATTTTCTGGCCCAGCTCGCTCGTTGGGCCTAGTGGGCGAGGCGAGTTTCTGGCTCGCATTTGTTGAGGTCGACCCATCTTGGCCTGCCACTGTAATTGGCCGAGTCGAACCTATCTTGCATAGGGTTGGATTGAGCCTAGCCTAAAAGCGTCCCAATGGTCACCCCTACTAGGACCTAACTATGTAAGCTTAGAAGGCAAAGAAAACTTGCATAAACTTGATGATGATGATGATGATGATGAAACTTACATAAACTTCCTGCATTTCCACTTTACTTAACACGTGTGACGAATACTAATTATCTATGTTGCTCTCTATCATCTATATTTGCTCGTAATAATTGGTGAATAATTATGACTATATGATGTTATACAGTGGATCAGGACTACTCCCAGTGATTCTACCCTTTAAAGATCTCAGCGAGCTCGTAATAATTGGTGATTATTTATGACTATATGATGTTAATGGATCAGGACTACTCCCAGCGAATCCAACGCTGATCATCTCCAACAGCTTCCCTATTTCCCATTTTTGAAGAATTTAGTTAGGTTTTGGTCCAACAGATTCCCCATTTCATTCTCTAAAATAGGGATGGAGGAGAAAAAATGGAGAAGCTTTCCCAAATCTGCAGCATTCTCCAAATTTTTGGAGGAAAAAAATGATTCTTCAAAATGGGGAAGCTGTTGGAGTTGGTGTAAAAATAATTTAGAAAATATGACTTTTGCTTCCCCATTTTAGAAAAAAATTTAGAGAAGCTGTTGGAGATGTCGTAAAGATCTCAGCTGTACGCTTGCTCTCTTTGAGTTTTTATTTATTTACTTATTTATTCCTCCTCTAGCCAAGGAAACTTTGAGTTTTGATGCTTGGTGTTTTTTGGTATATTGCGCTTCGGCCCGCACTCTATGAGGCCCATTATGCTTCATCCTCGAGGCACAGACATAATTACTTATTTTCTAGTAAAATTCTGACTTCCATGCGATATTTTTTTTCTTTTTTAAGTTATGACAAGCATTTTGTCCACGCTGGCACAGGTGAAATTTAAATGAAAAATAAGTAATACAGAGTGCGTAGAGTGAACTGAACTCATATGATCAGCTTAGAAGGTTAGGAGTTTTTTTTTTAATATATGGATCGTTTGGTCTTTACGGGTTTATTCTTTAGTCTATGCATGTGCTTTTAAGTCAAATTGTACAAAATTTTATTTAACTACTTTCTTCTTTTCTATTTTTCATATGTAATCTATTTTTAGTATGGATATTAGCATACAGATGGCTTATTCTAATGACTTATAGCATATGGATTATTGAGAATTAGATAATATGAGTTGCAGTTTTTTCAGATAGTTTGAAAATTAAAAGAAATACAAAATAAGGGGGTGGATGACTTTTATTTTAAATTTTAAAATTTAAAATTAGATAGTTTAACCATCATTTTTCCTTTTATAATGTTCCTATTTATTTATAATATTCTAAGATAAAATGAGAAAAAGAACAAGTCGAACTGCCAAATGAGTGCATTGATATTTTTTATTTTAAAATTTTAAATTCAATATTAGGTGATTTAACCATCAAACTCTTCTTAGCATTATCCTTCTTTTTAATAATATCTAAAAGATAAAAAAAGGATATAAAAAAGTATGCGCTTCATGTTTGATCACAAACACCAGGGATACCGAATACCTCTTTGATGTAGGAACTGCGAAGATCCTACCAGTTGGCATGATAATCTTACATTGATATCTTATTGCAATTTTTTGAGGTTTGGTAGGAATTATAGAGTATATTGAGTTAAATCCTGCAACATAAAGCAATCAAATAAATAGTTGTAGTTATATGAGATATAGGACTTTCACATATTGATTTATATCTCAAACAATCTCACACCTGAACTTCAATCTTGTGATGCTTGCATTAGAATTTTAACAGA